AGAGACAATCAGTTTATTTTCATATTAGCTAAACCCAAAAACTGATCAACCCACACCAACTAACTGACCAGCTAAATGACCAACAAACACCAACCTACCAACAAACACCAACCAACCAGCTAACACAGACAACAAACACCAACCAACCAGCTAACACAGACAACCAACACCAACCAATCAGCAAACACCAACATATCACAAATTTGTGACTCACCATTGTTCAGGTTGTCTGAAGAACTGATTGCTGACAAACGGGGCAGAGTACTCAAGAACGCAGAGGATGATTCCAACCAGCGAAAATAATGTCAGTACAGTCGGCTCAACATACCAGATGATGCTGGCATAGATGAAAATTTAAGGAAATGCATAAAAATAATCATTCACCCATTATATAAAATAAAATAACAACGATTATCCCCAGGCCACGGAATATGGATTGTAATTAACTGCATTTTATAGTAATAAAATAACGGATACAAGATTAGTATTGAATCAAAAATAGCATTGATTTATTCATTTATTAAGTAATAATAAACAAAGCAATGAGTAAAGAAAACAGAAACAAGGTTTGATAAAACAAGTCTAATTTTAGAAATCAATGAAGAATATTTAAAAATGAACTGACGCAAAAAGTACAGTTAGGACCCCAATGGCAATGCCAGGGACATAGGGGGGCTCCCACTCGAAAACCTTATTGAGAGACAACAGGTAACCTCTGTACTTGTTCAAATCTTTCTCTGCCTCCTTCAACTCAGCCTCATGGCTGAATGCCACCGGTGCATCGCTTGGATTCTTGAATAAATTGAACACAAAACATTAATAGATGGTCAAGCAAAATTTTAAATTCAGAATCTAAACTTCTTTCAAAACAAAAAACATAAATTCCTATCAAATTCAAATTTAACTAACTAATCAAAATAGAAATTGCAATTCAAGTTCAAGTAAAAACCAAGATTACACAAATGAAAGTTTAAAATCACTTTCAATAATTAGCAACAACGGACTTTCATGATAACAATCTGCAGTTTGAAATTAAAAATGTCGGCTGCTTTTGTTCTTAGAGGAACAAAGAAAGTAACACTGAATGAGAAGCTAGACGCGCAACAAGAAGATAAAGAACTATTGCTCAGAAATCTTCGAATAATGACGGTACACGCATGAAAAACAGCAGGACTGTTTAAAAAATTTAGCTTAACAATTATTAAATTGAAAAAATTAAATTGAACAAAAATCTACCAGATTAATAAGATTTTGCTCCATCGCTAAATTTAAAATGGCGAGAAAATTATGCAGAAATTTTTAAGGAAGCCAGAGATCGGTAAAAATGTAGGGATGGCAGGTTTTTATGAATTAATTACAACAAATATAATCGTCAATATCACCAAATCTAAAATCTACATATACGAATCGTCAAAATGTGCAAAAAATCATCTTTCATCTTAAGTGGTCTGCCTGCTTTCAAAATTAACTACTGTTTATTCAAAACCATACTAAAATTCAACAAAAATACATCAGCGGTTTTGAAACTGTGCGATTCAATCACAGTCATTTGACAAAATTCGACTAGTACCAATCATACATATTCTCTCTCTCTCTCTCTCTCTCTCTCTCTCTATATATATATATATATATATATATATATATATATATATATATATATATAATGGTCATAAACAGGAGATAACAACGGCTAAAAACATCAGGTCATAGGTTACAATTTCTCAAAATAAATGTTACAACTATAATAGTTTATTTTTTCAATTCAAAATTAAATGGCAGAGATGGATTGATGAGTGTGATGTCAAAGAGTTCCTTTTCGGTTTTCACCATTTCTTCGAACGTCCCAAAACCTCTCGGTATTTCAATTCTACTAGCCAGATCATAAACGTCGATAGGATGTTTTGGGTCCAGCTTGAATTTCTCATTTTTGGGTGTAGAAACCTGACTATCATCCGGACAATAATGGTACAGTTCTCGTTTGATGGGACTCATGGACGGATGGAATGCATCGGCGAACTTGAATCCGTTTGCTCTTTTTATCACTTTCGCAAATTTTTCATTTTTTTCTGACTTAGACTTTTCTCTACATTGAATTGGTCCCAAGTCGATATTGCCGACCAGTGGCACTACAAATCGTTTCTTCTCGAGGTTTTTCTCGTGCTGAATCTCTTTCAACTGAGGTGGGTGAAGTTGGTTTGGTTGGTTGGTAAAGGTGAGGTTGATTGGTTGGTTGATTGGTAGGTTGGTTGATCGGTTGGTCAACAAATAACAACAACAAATACAATAATAATAATAACAACAACAACAACAATAATAATAATAATAGCACGAGAAATGATAAAAATCATGAATCAGTAGCAAAGCCACCCCAACCCACAAGGTCTAGTAGCCTTCGTACTACTTTTTTCCATTCTTTAAAAAATCAGAATCTGGCAGACAGACCCAGCAGAAAATGTAACAGCGAACATGAAAGGCAATAGTATGAAATGACAATGAAAAATAAATAAAAGGTGTAAAAATATTTAAGCATTTACATAATAGGTATACTCACTACTGACTACCTACTAACCTTACTTCCGATGTAATTTACATAATAGGTATACTTACTACTGATTACCTACCAACCTTACTTTCGATGTAGGTTACATAATCGGCCGGCCTCTCAACCATCAGTCCGGCGATTAGGTTGAGGAATACGCTCCTCACGTCATTGCTCTCCACGTACTCCTCGTCGTAATATTTTTCCGATATCGGTCCAAGTTCGATACCGATTGAAGCGCCCAGCCCTGAATTTGTTGTATCGCATAAGGTTCCTTCTTCCGGGTTTATTTCCATGCCGGCTAGATAGGCGAGGTGCGTGCGTGTGTGTGTGTGTGTGTCCGTGTAGATCTGGAACGTATGTGTATCTGTGTGTATTCTTGTATGTGTGTGTGTTTGTGTGAGTTTGTGTCCGTGCGGATCTGTGATGTGTGTGTATTTGTGTTTGTGTGTGTTTGTGTGTGAGGTGTGTGTGTGAAGTGTGTGTTTCATTTTGACCTATATTTTATGTCAAGTAATCAAGCAAACGTTCAGTTTAGACAAATCCGCGTATGTGAGTTTTTATCATAGTTGTCTCAGCGTAGCCTGTTATTACATCGAGACATCTATGGTTTTTATTTTTAACTATTTAACACACACACACACACTTACAAAAAAAGAAAAAAGAAAAACAAACCCCAATTGGAATATCCAGGAAATTATGAATGAAATAATAATAATAACAATAAATACCACGAAATATTTACCAGCAGACAATTACCAGTAATATTAATTACAAAAAAAGAAAATAAGATGGTAAACAAAGTTTACAAATAAACAAAGAACTACGTCATAAATTTTAAAAAATTATTACCATCATAATTATTAATAATATTATAATAAATTTTACGTGAATATGGTATCATCAGTAATTATAACGGAAAAAAGTTATTACAAGTTTGTGAGGATAAAAAACTTTTCCATGAATGAATGAGTGAACGAATAAATGAACAAATGAATGAACGAACGAACGAATGAACAAATTGGAAGAGCTCGATGACAGGCCCGATACCAAGCTCAAATTTTTTTCTGCCCAACAGAGGCGGATCTATAAAACATTAGCGGAGGACTAAACTTTGAAAATTTTCAATGCGTTTTTTTTCAGCATTACTTGATATGAGTGCTGCATTTGTTTTTGATATCATTCAAGATGAGTTCAGCTCCAACGCCTTAGCTGATGATATTCAGTTATTGGTATCATGTCCTGTTGGTTCGATTGACGCTTCTCTGAATAAACTGATTGATAGTCTCATTGAAATTAGCTCTTGGATGAGTATGAATCAGTTAAAGTTAACAATCTAAGACACAAATATTACCGGTTGGTTCATGGCAGCAGCTGTCAAAGGTCAAAATTTCTTCAATCTGTATAGGCAATGACGTCATTGAATTTTCCACATCTGTCCGTAGTCTTGGAGTTATTATTGACTCAAACTTAAAGATGGATTTACATATCAATAATTTAGTGAGGGTCTGCTCCAGCCAACTGCCTTTATTACGCAATGTCAAAAAATCACTGAACACGTTTGTCCTTCAAAGTTTGATTCCTCTTTCGTCTTTTCCAGACTGGACTATTGCAATGGTCCTTTTCATGGTGTCACCAAAAAGTCTTTTTCAAAGCTTCAGTCAGTAGAGAATCGTGCGGCCAAGATGATTTTGGGTGATTCGATCATGTTACGCCTATTTTGAATAAGTTGAACTGGCTGAGGGTTGAGAAACGTGTTTTCTTCAAGCTAGCAGTTTTGATGTTTAAATGTGTCAATAATGCAGCACCTCCCTATTTCATTGATAGATTGGAATCATACAAATGTCATTTTTCATAATATTCCTTCCGATCAACCGAGCGCAATTTGTTTTTTATCCCGACTACAAAGTTAGCTACGGGTTCCCGCAACTTTGCGTTCTTGGCCCGGTTGTTTGGAATGGTTTACCTATTTACTTACGTGACCCTAACCTACCATTTTTACAATTTCGAAGTCAGCTTAAAACTTATTTATTTGCACAATGAATTTTTGGTAAATTTTCATCTGTAAAAAACATTAACGAATTATTACAAATGACTTTTTGGTTATTTTATTGCGTTTCCTCCAACTGGATGTGATATG